AAGGACCTCTGTGAAATCTGCGAAAAGCAGCAGAAAATATCTCTCGCACGTCCTTTAGTTTATCAACAGAATCGTTCACAGACTCTTAACTGGGCCTCGTGGTGAGAAGCTGGCAGCGTGGGGGGGGGGACAGGAGGGCATGTGGCCATGATTGCTCCCAGATGGATGGTTTTACTCCCCACCTGAAGCTGCTTTCCGGATGTCGAGCTAAATTTAGCACAATCCCCAACTCCACGTGGCATCAGTGTGTGTGTGTGTGGCTAGCTGGAGGGTCGGCGGGTGGTGGTGGTGGTAGTGGTGGCGGTGATGGAGGTGGCGGTGGGGTGGTTGCTTTTCTTCTCGATGTTATTTGTTATTTTTCACTCTTCGCCTTCTGCTCTGAACGTGAATGTGGCACGACGGGAGAGCTGTCCGTGGGGGCCTTGACTTTGATCTCAAACCCAGGTCCTAGAGCTCCTAAGGCTGAGGCCTTCATCTCTGGACTCGTCACACTCTTGACTTCAGAATGGTTTTCAAGCAAATATAAGCAGAAGTCTGTTCTGCGTCTCCACGTATATAAATATGAATGTTTCCTAGTCCCACCAGCCGATCTCGAGTTGTCACCTGGTTAAACAAGCTAATGTTGAAAACTTTCAAATACTGTATTTCTAAATCAATATTAACCCAGCAGAATTTGTTATCCAAGCGAGGTCTGGACCGGTTTCCATCTTCTGGGAGTTTCTATACAGGGACGTTTGGGCGTATTCTTGACCACAGCACAGCGCTGCCACATCCACTGCCCACTGCGATGCACGTTGACCTGATCGTGCTTTTGAAAACTCTGGTTCGTGATTCCTTAGTTTGATTGCTTCACAAACCCTGCGATCGCCAACTATGAAATCGGTCAATCTTGCCTCCCTTTCTTTCTGTTCTGAAGAAGGGTTATGTTCTCAAACATCAGCCTACCCGCCACCCCCTCCGTTTCACCTGTCCATACTCACCAGCTTGGTGAAGTATGGTCAAAGAACTGCTCATGTTCAACGAAGTTGTAGAGGATGCCTACACGTAATAGTGAATTCCCACACAGCCGTAAATGGTAGTCATCATTATTATTTCGATTGAAAGCTTTCGTGACTGCAGGGATTCATCTTCTTGGTTCTTTCGGTAAAGTCACGTAGAAGGGAAATAATAAAATAATACAAATAAAACATAATAAAATACAATTCTCACGACGTTTCGGCCACAACGCAAGCAGCTGTTGTGGCCGAAACGTCGTGAGAATTGTATTTTATTATGTCAGCATTCATCTAACTTAGCAATAATAATAATAATGATCTTCTTGGTTATTTCGGTAAAGTCACGTAGAAGGGAAATAATAAAATAATAATAAAAATACAATTCTCACGACGTTTCGGCCACAACGCAACAGCCGTTGTGGCCGAAACGTCGTGAGAATTGTATTTTATTATGTTTACATTTTATTATTTTATTATTTCCCTTCTACGTGACTTTACCGAAATAACCAAGAAGATCATTATTATTATTGCTAAGTTAGATGAATGCCGAGTGCAGTCTCCCCACTGCTTGTTGTTGCTTTACAGGCACCTTTTCGTAGAGGCTCGCACTAATGAAAAGCTTGATTCACGTTCACTGCAGAGATTTTCCTCATCGTGCACCGAGACGTAATTCTTCCTCCCCCTGCGCTTCACGACGACCCCACTCTGATCCGTTGCCTCTCGAGGCATTTCCAGTGCAACATTCGCAACGTCGCACGTCAATACTGTCCTGTGTACGGACATGATCGTCAAGGAGCATGAACCCATCACGCCAACTCCGGTCGTCCTCTCATCTCTTTGGAACTGCTTTTTGTGTTTAGTTTCTTGTCCTTCACCCACATCAACGATTATCACGGTTTGCTACGTATTGTGTGAAAGAAGTTCAACACACAGCCGCGTGTAGTAGAGTGCTGTGCTGCACATGTTCGTGCTAGCAGACATCGCAAGTGGACTTTGTCCGCTTTAAGTTTCAGAAAAACACAAAGACGTCTAAAAAGCACTCGGCCTTTGTGCATTATGCAAAAGCCACCAATAGTTCCTGAAGAACTGCATTATGGTCCTCTGTTGTCTTAGGTCACCATCAACATACATTTTAGTGAATGTAACCTACTGACTGGCAAGGCTGAGTGATATGTAAATGTTTGTGGTGTTGTTTGAAACTTGCGGGTTCTTTTTATCATTGTTTGCGTTCTACCAGCGTTAAAATTGGAATCCACGGGAGGTGAGTTATGTGGTTCGCTGATGATGGGGATCATACATTTTCAAAAGCAGTCACTGACTCGCAACAACTTGCAATCATAAGTGACAGAGTTAATTTCGGGTAAAATCAATAAAAACGGGGTATGCCGTTAGCATAAAAATGAGATGTGATAGAGTAAATCTGAGATCAGATTTAGAATCAGCACCCTGAAATTAGTCTAAAACAGCTGCAAAAGTCCAGGCCAGAAAAAAATGTTTTTTTTTGTTGACCAGTGTTATCTACACAATTTTGCAATGTGGATAGGGGCTTTAATCCAGCAGTGGATTGACAGGAGCTAAATGATAATACTTGTGTATGTTTTACTAATCATAGGTTATGTATATGTACGCTAAATTATAGCTCTCCATCCTTTGTAAAATGTAATTAGTGTTTACATGTCAAACAGGCATATATATGTATTGAATGCGCATGGGTGGGTGCGTATCGTGTAATTGTAATGGAAGCCATGTGAAACGAGGAATGTCTGGGGAAAACCCAACCTCCTGAAACAATGTCAACATCCAGAAGAAGGGAAAGTCACTCATGATACACGCTTGAAACCTGGGCGCGTGAAAGTACAAACTCTATTTACAATATATGCAAAATATGTTACAATGATATGCCAGTGTAGCATTAGCATATCATTTACGGTGCAATGAGAGTATGATAATTGGTTCTTTACCCTTCTATCTGGCAACAAAACTGACACCTTTTTGCAAGGAGTCATGTTTGCATAGACCGCAATACCTGCAGTCATAAATACAAACAAAAGACATAACTCTGATAATGTGCACTGTCCTTGAAGTTGATTGGTCCACACCCGAGACAGCTTTCCTTCGAGCCTAGTCTCATATGGGTTGGACCAGATGACGTGGTCAATTGTTCGCCTTTTGGCGTCATCTGGTCCAACCCATATGAGACTAGGCTCGAAGGAAAGCTGTCTCGGGTGTGGACCAATCAACTTCAAGGACAGTGCACATTATCAGAGTTATGTCTTTTGTTTGTATTTATGACTGCAGGTATTGCGGTCTATGCAAACATGACTCCTTGCAAAAAGGTGTCAGTTTTGTTGCCAGATAGAAGGGTAAAGAACCAATTATCATATTTTTACTGGCAAATGAGGTCCCCATAGTGGTGCAATGAGAGCTTTTGAAAGTTGCCTAATAAGTGCAAATTAGAACTTTAAATATTTAGGCTAATGGGATGAATCAAAGTACGCAAACAATGCAAAATATTCATAATTTTTATGCGTTCATGATATATGCATTGACAACCGTCGGTTATTAATGATGCATGAAAACCATGCTACCTCTAGATTCACGGGACAGACAAACCTGTAACAAACACAAAACAGAGATGGTGAGAAACAATACGAAATGAGGCGGTAACAACCTCCCCAAATATAGATCTTTAGTTCATCTCTGGTGGATTAAGCGAACAATTGACCACGCTTCCTTAATTAAGCCCCACCCGCTCGCCCCCCCCCCATTCACAACTTATTGCTACCACACCTCACTGGCAATTCACAGCCATCAACGTGCTTCTCCACCGAGCGGACCGAGTGGTTTGTCGCGCGGGCTTCAGAAGTTTGGCGGCGTCGTCGGCTGCCCGAGGAGGGTTTTTCGCAAACGCCCGCCACCGGCTCCCGACGACGCAGCAAACGGGACGAGGATAGTGGCAAGAGCCCCTCCTCCCCCTTATTTGTATGCCTCGCGCCGCAACGCCGCGTTGACATTTGGAGCATATAGCGCCGGCAATGCAAGCATGATGGATTACACGCGGTTCAATAAACGCTCAGGGGCCTGTATTAAAAGCTCAATCTTGTACCTTGGAGTCACTTTCTAATGAAATGGGGGAGGGCATGGCCGGTTTATATTTATATGTTACTCATGACGGCTATCGGCCAAAACGCTGACTTTTCCCCTCGTCCTGCTCGCTGGACGCTTTCGATATAGCAATCACCCACGCTATGTTTACTGATGCTATGTTGTATGTATTAATAATGTATGTGCTCTAATGTAGTCGTGTAATTATTCACGCAATACTGCAGACCCCCTCCCCTTCCCCTGGCGGTGTGATGAAGGGAAGTTCTACAAATCAGGCAACCTGACAGTCGCAATTTCAAAATCATCCTCAATATATACGTGTGTGGTGGTGTCATATTGAAGGTAATTACGTATAGATTTGAAAAATGCGGCGGCTTAATTGTAGAATGTGTCAGTGGTTTGACACGCATAACAACTAAATGCACCATCACCTCCCAGATTGGATTTTTTTGTTTAAGTCCATTTGCCTGAGTACGTCCCACACCGGCGTATTTAGAGGATTTCCCCCTTATCAACAAAAGCGTCCCCCGTGGAAGAGTAGGCCAAATATTCCCTCTGGAGGGGCACCCGAGAGTTCCCTCTGGTGGAGGTCCTTTCCGCCAGCAGTGGAGCGAGAAAGCAATTGCAGGGTTGCACCTCTACCCTTTACCGGCAATTATTAAACGTCGGCAGACATCTGATAAACCAAAAAAAGATTTGCAAAACATTACAAAGGGGAACCATACTCTTTGGTTATTTTGGTAAATTCACGTAAGTAGAAAAGTTAAAATAAAATAAAAAATAATAATATATCACGACGTTTTGATCGCAACACAAGCGGTCGTCCTCAGGCGGAAAAAATCAAGACACAAAGGGGAAGATCCAGCTCTTGTTGATTTTTTTTTTTCTTGCCTTTCACAGATGCAGCTGTTGGACAAGTTTCCAGTGGAGGGAGGGCAGAGAGACCCCAAGCTGAGGACAATCCCCTTCTTGCCAGGTGGGTCCAATATGAATTTCACCACAGACCCATGTGGCCACGCGGCTTTCCAGAGTAGTCACGAAAGATGGGTCCAACTTTCTCTATTGCCAAGGCGTTTTTGTTTGTTTGTAGAAACAGCAGCGGAATATTACAAAGGGCTTCATCGTTATAAATCTTTACCGAGGACAACATCACTGGAATATTTTTCAGGTTGGTCCTGCTGAGACTTTAGGCAGCTAGTGACACCAAATCACTGTGCGCGCTTGCAGAAGTGATTCGGTGAATCGTAACGATTCATGGATTCGGTGAATTTTTATCGTCTCGTTTCTGTTGTTTCTCAGTTGGCTGCATTTCGCTTGTTCAGTTTTGTTAATTCCTCGCGCCTCAATTGAACCTGCGCATTTGCATACACTTTTTTTCATGAATTGCAAATATTGGTTTGGTGCACCCGCAGTCCGATGGATGTGCGTTGGACTTCTTTCACACCATACGTAGCCAACCGTGCTAATCGGAGGTGCGACGGGCGTACAGCGGTTGTAAAGATCGACGAAGCGATGCAGTGTGACGTTCCAATCAGGGTTCTTCTTCAGACAATTCCTCCTCGGGTACTTGTTTGCAACTGGGAGGAAACCGGAGTTCTGTTTGAGAAACCCATGTGCTCGAGGAGAAGTGTGATAAGTATGAGGAGACGTAAGATGAGGAGTAAGAGAGAGAGAAGTATGAGAAGTAAGAATTATTTTATTATATTTTTTTATTTTTATTATTTCCCTTCTACGTGACTTTACCGAAAGAACCAAGAAGAAGAAGCTCAACCCCGTAGATTGGTCACTCGTCTTGTGGCTTGCGTGCTTTGTGCAAGAGGCGACTCGCTGTGAGTGGATGCTTCAATGTATTGCCGACCACCAAATCAAATCTAGAAGGACCACCAAAAGCACCGTGAATATTCCCATCCTCGCCGGGTCTTAGACGCTGCGCGGTATTGAGCCCGGCTTGGCACGGACGTGACGAACGCGTCGACTCGTCGAATCTCAAGTTCACGGTTGTGATGCTCAATCGAGCATTGCTTTTGTTTGTGTTACAGTTGACGTGCTGTGGATCATATGTATTGTATATAACGAGTTCACTGCATTCCTCTGGCCACTAGAGACTGCGACGTTCACCGCAGTAAAAAAACAAAGTGTTGTTTGTATCATGGGTGGGAAAAACCCGATTTTTCCAGCGGCAGGCATCGGGTTTTTTCTTTAATACAATTAAACCCGATTTCGGGGAGTTAAAACCTGGTTTAATGAATACGAAACTCTGATCCGAGGCTTAGGCTGCTTCCTCGTCGGTGCTGCTATTGTATTCGGGGGGGGGGGGGGGGGGGGGGGCCGTCGGGCACGGGGTAGTCGTAGAATGCGGGCAGGTTGATCTTGATGAACACGAGCTTCTCCACAATTGTGGGCGCCAATGAGTTCCTTAGCTTGGAATGGATTAAGCCCATCGTTGAGAAGTGCGGTTCTGCAATTAGAACCAATTAAACCGGATTTCTCCCAATCTCAGATGATCGGGTTTAATATAAAGACAATTAAACCCGATTGTAAAAAACCCGACTGTGCCAACCTTGGTTTGTATCAATTCGCGACTCAGAATCGCGACAATTTCGTTGGCTCCTCATGGGGGAGAGAATAGTTAGAGTGCTATCCGTAGCCACTTGGATTGAAGACTGCGAGTAAAAATACATCAGGGGTTCAGATGACCAGATGGCAGCACAACAGCGTCTTCTTGAATCTACCTGTGCAGACTTTAGAGCGTTACCCTATGTGTGCTTGGGTTTTCTGTGGGGACTTGGGCTTCTTCCCACATGAAGCCAAATGTGGAGAACTGGAATTGTCCAAATATCCCAAAGCATGGCACTCTTGAAAAAGAGTCTTGAGTCTGAGCATGGCTTTCGTGGATAAAGGACATGGTTATTATTATTATTAAATATATAACGGCTTGCTTCCATTCCTGTAGTGATTCATGAGGCTTTCGGTGAAATACACAATTTTTAAAACATCCCAATACATTACAGATTTTAAGTGGCCTACCACAGCTCTTTTGGGAGCAGGGATTGGAAACCTAAGCTGGTAATGCCACCAATGGTATGTGCCTACTTGAATGAGATTGTGCGAGGCACCTGCGCAAATAAAAGCCACCTTTGCTCGTAAGCACCGCTGAGACTCTAACATTTGGGCTACGATTTGGTCTACAAAGCTGCACATGGTGCTATTTAGCACATATCCATCTTGTGAGGTATATAAACCCCATACTGCGGGTGGTGGGGCAGTAGTTGGCTCGCTGCGTTGTGAACTCAATGACCAAAGTTCAATTCCTGGCCACGGCTAACACCAGGGGCGAATGATGTCTGAACCGCGGCCCCGGTCTCACCCACCGGCCTTGACAAGTCCTTCGTACTGGCCAGCGACGTTCAGTATTCCAAACGTTCCTCATCGTCCATCTGGCTTTGGGAGGTCTTCATACAGCAGTAGAGTGTATGTATGTATGTTGAACTTCTTTCATGCCGTACATCGCCAACCGTGATAATCGGAGGTGCGGGGGAAAGGCAACGAACTAAACACAAAAAGCAGTTAAGAAGAAATGAGTTTTCAATCTGGAATTAAAAGTGCATAGCTCCCAGTGGCTTCCTAATATCGGAAGGCAGAACGTTCCAGACGGCCGCATAAGCGCATCCGAAAGCGCGCGATGCGGTGACGGTCTTTGTTCGACGGCCTGCCGAAATCCGCTGCTGCGATGATGACCCGGAGTTTGCATGATGGTTTATGTTCCTTCAAAAAGGCCTGTAGATAAAATAAAACGAAATACTTGATATGCCGCAGTGGTTATTGCAATTGCGCTACGAACCTGGTGACCGGAGTTAAATCCCAGCAACGGCTGACATCAGTGGCGTGTGAAGTCTGAAACCGGTTTTGGGACGCCCATGTTACCAACCCTCACTGACTAGCACAGTGGAGTCTGACCAAGCAACCCATATGACCGGCACGGCCGTGGGGAGGCCTTAATCCAGCAGCAGATAGGCGAAAGGGATGTAAATGATTAATTATTTTCGATACTGTACTCTGTAATAGTCTCTGTACCCTATTGATTTTGTAAGTGGCTTTTCCTAAAAAAAATGCTACCGGAAATGAGAGAATAATCAATATCAACACATGCAATATCACAATAGACTTTATCATGCACGCTAGAGTCAACATTGATATTTTTGGGGGGTTTCATTCCACTGCTACTGTGCAATATATCGCAAAGTACAAATTGTATTACAGAAGTAGAGCGAGACCTTGTGGAGCGGTTTGGTGGTCAAAGCTGTACACATACAACAATTCGATGCCGCAGTTGCAATTATCTTTTCTCTTAGATTCAAATAAACAATGATCGCTCCGCGCCATACACGCTCAAATTGCACTTCCAGATGTATACGATGGGGGCGGGCGGGTGGGTGGAAAACAAATTATTACCCTTCCAGAGATTTCATACGGTTTGTTTGCAGACCTTATGAAATCATTTTATTGCTCGTGCCAGTCGGCGCTGGCTGTTTCAGAACCCGCTTTACTCCCATTCTTTCCGCCGACAGCAAGCCATAAAGGCTATTGGTCTGGGGGTAACAGTGTCAATAGAGATTTACCGATAAGTACACAGTTATTACATTTGACAAAGGGGGGGGGGGCGGTGGGCGGGCAATCTCTCCACTACCTCTCTCTTTTCAGATGGGCCCTTCACATATTAATTTGGCATACCTGCCTTGATCAGAGCCAAAAAGGCTGTCGGGATTTTGGCAAGGGCTGACATCTCTTTGAGATGAGACAAATGAGTGTTCTGCTTCCAAGTTCAACCCCCCTGGTGTGTGGTTACTCCTGCACCCAAACATTGCCCGTGGCTTGAGCCTCACTGAAACTCTATTTACTCAGATGGTTCTGGGGCACGATATTAAAGCTTCTGTTTGTGGATATAAATGCTCAGTGGATAATCTGGGGCAATTTTTTGTTTGTTTGTTGTGATTAATGCCTTTAAGATGCCCGCAGTATCAAAGCGAAGGAATAAACTGTCTTTTTAAGTCTGCGTGAGACAAAAGTCTTAGAACCTTTGTTGAACACTTAAAACATAAGGCTTGAGCTTGCACGATAATTTATTTTGGCAAAGTGCACCATTGTGGATGACTGTTCATGTTTACAATCGTCTGATGGTGGCGCTTGGGGCGGTTGGGGGTTGGCGATGTTTTGAGTGGATAGCTCTTGGCTGATCATAATGTTGATGAGGATATAACAATACAATTATTTTTAGACATTTCCTGATCCACTGCTGGATGAAGGCTTCAACATGTCACGTGGGTCTTGGGGCTTATTTGACCATACTTCACCACGCTGGTCAGTTTGTGTTGCTGAAACAAGGGCGGTGGTGGTGGGCGGGGGGGGTATGGAGGCCCAGGACTGCTTGAGGTATCACTTGCTACTGATTTTAGCTTGGGACAGGAATTGAACTTTGGTGTCACTGGGGTTTATAGCACGGTGTGCTGATCACTGTGCCAACACCCCTCGGTCTAATGTTTAAGGCATTCAATATCTCATCGTGTCAGATGTCAAACTTATTCAGTTCCAAGCCGAACAACTTGAAACATAATCTCAAGGAGATCATCTTCATGACGTTTCAACACAACCATGCGTAATCTCCATGGCATGCTATGAACATGAATTCGTACTCGGGGTGTAATGATGCAATGTTTACAATCGATTAGAATTGATTCTTGTGCTAGCGAGATATGATATACGTGTATTGAATTGTAAATGTAATAATAATTGTGTTTTTCCTTCATATACATTCTGTCTTTATTTATTTAACTAAAAAAAAGGAATTTATTTTTGAGTTGAATCGTAGCAATAAACATCCCAAGGGGACACATTCTGTACAGAACTAGTAAATTAAATATATATCTGCATAGCTGTTTGTCAATCATTTTCTGGATCAAGTCCTCCCCATGCAGTATT